TGACACTCCAGCAGGTTTTCAGAGGCAGTTAATCACAGCAGAGGAGACTGTCCACCCCTCTGCCATGGAGCAGCTGGTGGGCTTGAACCGCGTGCCTTTGGGATGGCAGTGCAGCCTCCTGCCATTATTTGTTGAGTGCTTACTCTTAGGAGGTAGTTGGGCACTTGGTCTAGACCAAGTGCAGACGCTCAACTGTTAACTATGAAAGTTTGGTGATTCGTTTCCATCCAAAGGTTCCTCAGGAGAAAGTCTGGGTGATCCCTTTCCAAATAACTCAGCCATTGAACCCGACACGGAGCACAAGTCCTCTCCAATACACAGGTGTTTGCCGTGAGTCAGAGTTGACTGGATAGCACCCGGTAGGGTCTTGGCACCATCCTGCAAAGCTGGCATTCCTGTTCACTTCCACTTCATAATTTGGAAAACCGAGATTCCAAGGTTAGCGTGTGAACCTTTACTCATAGGGGCGGAGTGAAGTTAAGGACTTGGGACAATGCCTTGCTGCCACCCTGTCAGGTCAAGAACTTTGTGTCCATTTAAGAACATAAAACTTGGCAAGTTGCAAAGTGTTTTACCTGTTATGTGTTCTCTTAATTGCAGAGATTCCTACTTAAATCAGAAAATATCAGAACAAAACTCTCAATGGGAATTAAAAATAGCATCTTAATATTAAGGGAAATGATTTAATGCTTGGAAATAAATCACAAAGGTGGATAATGAGAATATTTCTTGTTTAACAAGTTCAAGTTGAAGGAGTAGGTTCTAACCTTTAAAGTAGTGTGGCTGTTGGACGTAGGGGTTTTTGATTGGGGCTTGGTTTGTGTTTTCCCCCTCTTTTTAAAAAAGCAGCTTTGCAATATGATTCACACCCTTGCCATCCACCCATTTAAATGATTTTTGGAATATTCATAGAGTTGCTTAGCCATCAGTACAATCTGTTTTAGAACAGTTTTTTTACACCAAAAGAAACAGAAAACACAAACCCGCTCGTACCTGTTTGCCAGAGTGCTCCTTACAAGCCAGGATTTATGAGACTCATGAACCACTAGTTTGCAGTCAGGAGAAAAGGGCATCGAGGTTGATGAAATCCGGGGTCTGTGGAGAAGAAGCAGGGCCTCCACAAGGCAGACTGACGCAGTGGCTCCAAGAGTGGGCTCAGGCCCAGCCAGGATGGTGAGAGCAGCGGTGGTGGCCCACCTTTCTGTAGTAGGATCCTGCAGGGTGAAGGCTCTCTTTAGCACCTGTAAGGACCCCTGCTGGTAACCGCTACCTCGGTGAAGCAGCAGACCTGCTGGAACACACCTTTCTTGGTGAACTCTATGGCCTGAACTTGCCTTATCCCCTTAACTGGTTCCCTCACTTGTTACTTGACTAATTCTCCCACCTCTTTATGTTGTATTTGACAGGGCTTTGCTAACTTTCTGAAAATTGTACTCTGACATAAGCACATTCCACTCACTAGCAGTAATTACTGTTACTATTTTGATGCCCACCTGTGCATGTGCACTTAGAAACGGGTCCCATTCTGTTTTGTAGCTGCCTTCCTCTCCACTTCTCTAACATATCCTTTTCTCGTCTCTGAATCTGAGACCTAACACTGTTATGATTCTCTGTCCCACATCCCTGAGCACTGCCGTGGATTAACTGCTCAGTGTGGAATCGCTGGGCTCGGGGGTCTGCTGAGTGGACGTTTTATAGCAGGCTGCAGTCAGATGTCGTCACAGGTCGGAGTTTTTCCCTTACTGGTTTGCTCTGCTTTGTGTACATAATGGGCCTTGAGCCTTTCCGAGTTGTATTTTCTGGTGTAGACCCATGAGTGAGCACTTGGCCACGTGAGTCCCAGAACTGTGTTGCTTGATAGAATAGAATAATTCTAAATATCTATGCTGTGATATACCATTGAGTCAGAACCGACCCATAGCTGACCCTCCTGCAGGTTTTCAGAGGCCGTTAATCACACGGGAGGAGATTGCTCATCCTTCTCCCACAAAGCAGCTGGTGGATTCGATCCACATACATTTGGGTTGTCAGTGCAGCCTCTCACCACTAGGCCACCAGCGTTCCTTCAAATATGTATGAGACTCAGTATAATTTTTTTTATGATGACAACTAAGAACGTGCTTTGATTTTGCAGGTAGGCTATTCTTACGAGCATCATTTTTAATTTTCCTTTATTTACTTAAGTAATGCAGAAACAGTTGGCAAAAAACGAAGAAAATGTGAATGAACAGAAAGAAACAAAATGAAGTGAAATTGTCTCATGTACCAGCCTCGGAAGCAGTCGGTTCCATTCCCACCGTGGTCTATGTCCTTTCAGACTGTGCAGAACAACCTCTCAAATCAGTAGCTCCATGTCAAACTTATTGTCAAATAGAAGGTTTTTAAAAGAAATTACTTTGTATCACTGTAGGTTAAAAAGCACTTTTGCTTTTGGTGTTCCCCCCACCCCTTCCTTTTGTTTTAAAGGTCCCAGTAACAGTATTCATCATCTTTGTTCTTTTACTTGACTTTGCCTTGTATTTCTAAGCATGCCATTTGGAAATGCAGTATTTTCTTTTGTAAGCTGATTGCTTGATTATTATTTAAATTTTCAGTTGTGCGGCTCTGTTGCTCTGTGTGTACGCTCCATATCTGTACAAGAGCTAGGCTGGGCCCTTGTCTTCCCCTGGTGGTCCACCACTATTCCCAGTGGGCCCTGGGATTCCTTGAGTACCTTTGAATTTCCTTTTTGGAAGCTCTTGACCCCCTTGCTTGCTAATCACGTTGTGTTCCACATCCCTGATGCTTTATTAGTCCCCAGCATTCTTGATAAAAGAGAGGTAATTAGTGTATTATGGCTTCTTTTGAATTGTTCCCCAAGATAAGCAGAGGAAAATGGTACATGGGTAAGAATTTACATAATAATGGGAACAGGCTTTGTCCCATCAGCTCGAGGTAATCAGGAGAAAATGAAAGCATTTTATTTATGGAGCATTTCTGCATGTATTTATCTCTTAAGAATTCAAAATCACCCCTTGCGCTGTGCTGGCTTTCTGATTGCTGGAGTCACGTTTCCCAGCTTGGTTTCTGTTCTGTCTTGCAGGTCTTCTCACCTCTAACGGCCTTCCTTCAATTCGGTGGCAGTTGCCACCCTTCTTCCAACATTGACTGAACTCTAAGTCAAAGCCAGAACATGCCATAAAAAAAATACATTTCCCCTGAATTCCGCACCAATTCAGCAACCAAAGCCTCTGCCGTCAGTCATGGCAGCCTTCACTGGGCAGTCTCCTCCCGCGCGGTTATTGGCCTAGAAGCCCATGAGAGGGTCAGCAGTGACGCACTTCCTTCCCACTTGACACATCTGCCTAACAACCACCCCCACCTATCAGTTAGCAGGCCGCGGGGGGGGGGGGGGGCAGGGGGCGTGCCCCCTGACTTACTGACAGATTCTGGGGAATGAATTCATTGTAATGTTAAGTCATTAAGTTCATTTATTTATTTATTTTTTAAAATAGGTAAATTGGTGAGCTCTGGTGGCCTAGTGGCAAGAAGCTGCACTGCAATCCCAGAGGCGCAAGGTTCAAATCCTCCAGATGCTCTGCCGGGGAAGGAGGGACAATCTCCTCCTGTACCAGTCAGATCTGATTTGACGGTACACTCACACACACAAATAATAAAATAAAAATTAAAAAAAAATGAAAATAGGTAAATCACTAAATCCTAAACCAAGATTGTACAGTTGGACCCTGAAATGTTGTACCGCTAACCTCCTGCGAGCTAGGATTTTTTTTTCTTTAATGACACAGAACTTTGTTGTTGGCTGTGTATTATGTTCCTTTCAATCGATGTTTGATTGTTCATCAGAGGCATAGTTTGGTGTGCGTGAGGTGACCTGTGTGTATTTGCCGAATTTTACACAGACACTACTGCAGAGCACCATTAGATGGAGGCTCCATCTGGAAAGGAGTCCCTGGACCTCTTCTCAGGATTCAGCCAAGGTTTCTGCATAGTGTCTTCCCTGAACCGTGAAGCAGGATGAATGATTGACACTCACTGGGTGCGTTAAGAACTAGCTTTTCTGGCATTGTGGTTAAATGCTTGGCTGCTGACTGAAAGGTTGATGATTCAAACCCATCAGCAGCTCTATGGGGGAAAGTTGACACAGTCTGCGCCCGTGAAGCTCCCAGCCCTAGAACCCTACAGGGCAAGGCTCTTCTATTCCTTTTTTAGAGTCATCACCAGTTACAGTTGACTTGATGGCAGTGGAATTGATGTTAGTTTTGGTTTTGCTGGGTTCTTACAACATACACTTGCTGCTTTTTCTTGAAATTACCTATTTGTGAATCAGTTCCAAACGAGCTCCAGGATTCAGCACTATGTGACTTTATATCCAAGCTCAAGAAGAATTTGCTGACCACTGTCTAACCAAGCTAGAGGCTTCCTGTCCACTGCCTCTGTTTCTTTCATTCCTACTTCCTTAAAAAAACCTCCCTCCCCCACCACGTTTGGGCTGCCCCCACTGCTTGCCTGATTTCCTTGCAGAAGACAGGCGCTGGAGCCTCCAAGAAGTGAACGGAACAGCTGGCGAAGGGAGGGAAACACAGGGGGATCTGGAGGGAGGCGAGAACAGTTGGCGCAGGAAAGAAGTTTCTATGGGGTACCCAGGAAGGCCAGGGAGCAACACTGTACCCCGCGGACCTAGCAGCAGGGCGAAAGCGGCAGGCCCCTAAGAAGAAAGGTGATTAGGGGGCGGCAGGTAAGGCCCCGCCCCCTTCGCCTGCACCTGGAAGAAGGTGCCCAAGGCTGGGCTGGACCCGCAGGCCTGTCTCGGGCCAAGGGAACAGGCCTTCCCTTCCCAGCCCCACCTTCCCGCCCCTCCGGCTCTGCGGGGTGGCTCCTCCCGAGCACCAGCTCCTTCCGTCGGTCGTTCTTCCTTCCTGCTTCGCTTGCACGTTTCGCGATATGGTGCAGAGCCTCCGGTCCGCTCGCAGCAGCTGAGGATCCCGGAACCGACCGTCGCGATGGAAGAGGACCAGGAGCTGGAGAGAAAAATACATGGATTGAAGACCTCAATGGCGGAAGGCGAGAGGAAGACTGCCCTGGAAATGGTCCAGGCAGCGGGAACAGATAGACACTGTGTGACCTTTGTATTGCACGAAGAAGACCATACCCTAGGAAATTCTCTTCGGTACATGATCATGAAGAACCCAGAGATCGAGTTTTGTGGTTACACGACGACCCATCCTTCAGAGAGCAAGATTAACTTGCGCATTCAGACCCGCGGCAGCCTTCCAGCCGTGGAGCCACTCCAGAGAGGCCTGAACGAACTCCTGAATGTCTGCCAGCATGTTCTTGACAAGTTTGAGGCAAGCATCAAGCTCTACAAGGACCAAAAAGCAGGGCAAAATGAACCCACACTCTAGTCCCGTATGCGCTAGGTGATGCAGATGTTCTAGGATAGTCTCCTCCAGAGCATGTGGAAACCCATCAAGTAGCATTGTGTGATTATAGGCCATTTTGGCCTTCAGAAAGGCCGGCTTCTTGCGATTGTCCCACTGCGGCTGTTGGATTTCCTGCAAGTATGTTTGTGTTCTAATAAATTCCCTCTTTTGTTATTTAAAAAAAACCTGTTGCTATGGAATTGCTTCCCACCCCTGGAAACCCCAGATGTGTCACGGTGGAGTTGTGCTGTAGAAGTTTGCAGTGGTTGAGATTTTGAAAGTAGACGGCGAGACTAGGCTTGGTGAGTCCCACTGGAGGGCAGTAACTGAGAATTAAACTAAGAAATTATACCTCAGCTTACCTCAAAGGAACCCTGAAGAAAGAAGAACTCTCAAAGAGTTATATTGGAGTCTCCAGACTATTTCTTGTGCCACTTAAATACATGTGGAGTACTTTTAGATCCTTGTAAAAAAATGGGGGAGAGAATTCCACAACAAACCCAACCAAAACAAACATAAATAAGAACAGGGGAAGCGGTGGTCTCCAAGGGCATTATGAGTTGTGCTGCTAACCTAGATTGGGTCAGCAGTTCATATCCACCCACTGATCCATGGGAGAAGGAGGGGTGGTCTTCTCCTAGAAATATTTACAGCCCCAGAAACCCCATGGAGGGTCCCTATGAGTTGAAATTGAGTTGACAGTAGGTTTGGTTTTTTGTGGTAAGAAGTAGTGGATCCCTTCTGAATTCTTATGCCAGGGGTTAGTCTGAATTAAGTTGAAAGCTTGAAGTTCTGTCTAGAAGATTCTGTTCTTTAGGAAAATGAGATTTGATGGGAGAATCCTCTCTTTTTTACTACTTTCCATCGTTCCAGAACTCTTGACCTGCAGCTTCATCAGCCTCTGCCATTCTCAGCAGATTCAGAATGGTCTTAAAGTGGCATCTGCCTTCATCCATCTGCAGACAAAAGTTACACTGGAGTAAGGAAGCTTTTTACTTCTTATCTCCATTCAGACACAAGTTACACTGGAGTAAGGCAGCTTTTTACTACTTACCTCCATTCATCTGTTCACTGCAGTCAGAAAGTTTTAGACCGAGAAGGAAAGAAGTTCCAGTTCTTGAAGTCTGACCTCCTTGAACTCCTTGCCACTGTCTCTCAGACTCCAGTCTAGCTTGTTCCAGACTTCCCACAATGTGGCAGTGTTTCAGTTATCATTTAAGATTCTCTCCTTTGCCCCCCCCCCAAAAAAAAAACCCTCAACCTAAACTGGCATAAGCAATAAAGTTGTTGTTGTCATTGTTGATTGCCTTCAAGTCAAGCACAACTCATAGCAACCCAATGAACAAAAGGCCTGAAGCCCCTCTACAACTATCCACATTTATCAAAGTTCATAGAGTTTCCGGAGGCCTGTGGTTTAGGGAGTGGATGCCACTCCTGCTTCCAAAAAGAAGTAAAGAAGCATGCATTTTATGATTTGGGGTATTAAATGATACCTGCATGTATATGAAGAAAATGAATCTTTTAAAATAACGTTCCATGGTTCCAGTGGCAGAAACCTGGACCCAGATTTCAGGGACGGAAAGACCCAGCCAGACCATCTCAAGATCTCAGTTCTGTGCACCTGTCTCCTTTGCCTTCTGTGCTGCCAGCTGCTTCTTAAAACTCGCCTCTTGTTGCAAGTTAGAAACGTCATTGGTAGAGTTACCCAAGTCTGTGACCTAATGACCACCTTTATGCCCCCTTCCATCACAGCCCACATGTACTCTCTCAGCCTCTTTCAGATCCACCCAGAGAGGAATTAAAAATATGACAATGAATCAGTAGGATTTCATGACATTGGAGAAAGAAGGATTGGGGAATGAGAATCCTCCCAGAGATTGGGGTATTGGCTCAGAAACAGGAGTACTACGGGGGTTTGGAGAAGATTCGTAGGCCATGTGGGCATAGGTGCTCAGCAGCAGAACCAGGGTGTGATCTGGAGGATGGCATTCCTTCTAATATGTGGTAAAGCACATTGATTTGATTTGTTTTCATACAACTTTAACGTGTATCCCAGGAGAAGACTGTTTTCATTGTAATAAATCCGAAACCAATAATTTTCTTTTAATATGCAAATATAATATAAGCTCAAGTTTTCATTGCTTTCTCGGCAAAGCTGAAAGTGTCTCACTTGCTTTAGAGATTTCCACTTCATTGTATTTTGATGTGACGTTACCTTTCATTAATCCCTTCCAGCTAAGCAAAATTTAATTAAAGCCATCTCACATGATGCAGCCATTTATGCATTTTAAAAGTGGGGACTCGGCTCAGCCACCAGGCAGGCTTCCGTTCTAAACAAAGTCTACATATAAATTTACTAAGTTCTTTCTCCATTTCAGGATTTATGACATAATGGCTTTCCCCCATTAATTTTGGATAATAGGGGATTTTCCTTTAAATGGATACTTTCTGTTTTACTTGTCTGTGACCTGAATTTAAAATGGTACTGACTTCATGCTGAAAGGGAAGGAAAAAATTTTCTCAGTATAAATGAAAAATGCTTCATAAAGGTACATACAGATGGTTGTTGGGTTGTTGTTGTTTTTTTTACCTCAATGAGCATGGCCATTGATGTCAAGTGTAAATATGGGCACTCTCATTTTCCATATGGATTGAATGACAAGTTGAATGGTGTGGGCGGAGGTCTGTAGTCTGCAGGTCCTCATTTCACTGTCATTATTGACATTTATTGTGCACGTGAGTGAGAGAAACGGAAGAGCATGTATAGAAACCTCCGCGGTCATAAAAGCCTTCTGCTCCTCAGACTAAATTTTCCCCCATCTCCATTCTGGATCCTTGCATTGATTTTATTTAGAAATTCATGGGACAGAAGCAAATTTCCTCTCAGGGTCAATAGCTAACTCCACTGAACCCAAGTAGCCACAAGAAATTGCCAAGAGCAGGCCTGTGATGTTATAGTTCTTACTTCCTGTGGCTGCCTGGCTTAGAGTCCTAGGGCTGCCGTAGCAGAAGTACCACAAGGGGGTGGCTTTCGTAAACAGAGATCTATTTTCGTCCAGAGGCAGCAAGTCCACGTCAGAATCTCGGCTGGATCTCTACCTCATCACTTCTCGTCTGTTTTCCTTCGTGTGTGTGTGTGTGTGTGTGTGTGTGTGTGTGTGTGTAAACTGTGTTTTGTTCAAATCAAAAGTGGTTAGATTAGAACCTACCCTTAACTACCCTTATGACCGAGTGAAATTAATAAAGAAAATTACTTTTTCCAATAGGATAGTATCCTCAGGTATAGGGGTTATGATTTCAACATCTTTTGGAGGAGTCAAAATTTAATTCGTAACTTTCCCTGTGTTTGATACTCATTTCAGTGTTGCTACAGATTGAGTAGTTACTGTTATTATTATTTTCCTTTTCTTGTTGTGTACCGTTGAATCTGATCCAACTGGCACAGGAGAGTGCCCCTCCTTCACCAGCAGATTATCTGGTAGATTTGAACTGTGTGCCTTTGGGATTGCAGTGCAGCTTCTTGCAACTAGGCCACCAGAGCTCTCTGATTAATTACTTTTAACTCACGTTTTTCTTTCAGGTCAGAGCCATGACCGTGCGTGTGTGTTTAAGAGAGAGAGAGAGAGAGACAGACAGACAGACAGACAGACTGACTGACTGACTGACTGACTGACTGACTGACTGACTGGTGTGTTCTTAAGGAAGAAAATGTATTCATCTGTAGCATTGGCAAACAGTTCTCTGTATGGCCGGTATGTATGAGAGGATGATGAGTATCTTTGACTTGCCCTTTGGCCGTGATCACATTAGGAAACATGGCCCACAACAGGAGTCACCCATCTGCATGATGACTGCCTTTAACAGACAAACAAAACACTCTTGGGCCCCCCACGTGTCTAATGGACCAAGACACTTGGTAGTTAAATTAGTTCTTATCAAACTCCTAGTGCGAAGCAGCATTAGAAGGGATGTTCGTTTCTCTCACACTGAGTTTTATTTGCCTTTCAGTCTACCCTTTTGATCCTTTAAAATTAATGGATAGTAGTGACATACTCAGAGAGCTCTGGCGGCCTAGTGGTAAGAAGCTGCGCTTCAATCTCAAAGGCTCGCTTGTTCTAATCTACAAGCTGCTCCATGGGAGGATGGGCAGTCTCCTCCTGTGTGATTTACTGCCTTTGAAAACTCACTGGTGGGTCAGCTGTGGATCAGTTCTGACTCGACAGCACACAACACCACCACCAACAACAATGGCATACTAGGGAGCTCTGATGGCCTGGTGGTTAGAAACCATGCTGCAATCCTGAAGGCACACAGTTCGAATCCACCAGCTGCTCCACAGGAGAAGGATGGGCAGTCTACTCCTGTATGATTTACTGCCTCTAACAACCTGCTGAAGGGTCAGCTGTGGGGTCAGTTCTATGGCACACAACAACAGTGGCATATGAAGAAACGTGTTGAGTTGCCAAATAAAAGGTTAGGTTTTTGAACTCACCGGCAGTTCTGAGGGAGAAGGGTGAAGCCGTCTCTCTTACTTGTAAAGATTTATAAATTCGAAAACCTGGTGAGAAGTCTCCACGAGTCGGAATCAGCTTCACAGTGTTGTGTTGTGTTGTGTTGTTAGGTGCCACGGAGATGTGAGCCCCCTTCTCTCCTATGCCGCCTTCGCAATCTTAGGCACGTTGCTGCAGTCCCTGTGTTCATCCATCTGGTTCAGGCTCTTCTGCTCTTCTGCCCATTCTTTCCGAGCATTATGTCCCTCTTCAAGGAATAGCCTCTCCTAGCAACATCCAAAGTATATAAGACGAAGCCTCACCATCCTTGCCTCCAAGGAGCACACTGGATGCACCTTCTCTAGGACATAGCTGTTCTTTTGGCAGTCCTTGGGATATTCAGTACTCATCACCACCACAGTTCAAACACATCAATTCTTCCTCTGTCCTCCTTATTCATTGTCCAGCTCTCAGATGCGTAGCAAGTGATTG